AGTTGCAGCAATCCCATTTCAGTGACACTTGCTGGCCGTGTTGACTCACTTGCCATGACAGTAGAGACCAGACACCCTGTTAGGTGGTACAGAGCCATAAGCTCCTTAACACAAAAAATGGTAAAAGCACCAGATACATGAATTTTCTCTGCTCTTGCAGTCAGATTTATGGTAACCCATTTGTCAAATTAAAAACTGTTATTTAAAAAATGATTTTTATTTAATGGTGACCAACATTTTAGAGGGATCCTTTAAAAAGACCAACTTTTTATACCTGTCATTTCTTTTATCCCAGTCATAACTTGAAATGTTTTAACCTGATGCCTGTTCCCACCTTCTTCCTATAATGATTCCTTTGACCAGTCAAGTAATTTTCCAAGAAAGTGTTCTTGAGCATGAAGTTCAAGAACATAGAGACTCTTAGCTAGATGGCTTCTTTCTTTAGTAATTTTCTTTCTAGAGTTTGAACCTCTTCAGAAATACAATCTATGATACCTGCCTCTTCAGTTTTTTCCCTTAGTCACACTAAATCAGTTTTGAGGGAAAAAAAATAACTCTCCAAAATAAAAAATACACTGAACAAAGCAGCTTTTTTATTTACAATCAGTCTTGAGATAAAAAGGAGAGCACTTGCAAAGATGAAAAGATGACCTCCGGAGCAGATTTAGGTCTGCTGAAAGATGTGGAAAGCCAAATATAGCTGGACAGCTCCCTAATGACTTTCTATCTTAGGTGGCTCATTATTCCTTTTGAATTGAAAACCTAAGTCAAATTATCTACTCAAAATGCAGTAGAATATTATAGCTGACAGCAAGATTGCATCTTAATATCTTTGGTTACACCACTCAGGCGGGAGGAAGCAAGAAATGAAGATGACCAATAAGTCTCTGGACCAGGAATGGCTGCAAATAAGCCACTCACTCTATTCCTTCCACTTGGACTCACACCCAGCTCCCCCTGTCCTTTTTCATTCTAGGAGTCCATTTCTAACATTCCATCCTCTCACAAATGTTAGCTAATCCCCCAAGCAAAACTGACTTTTTAAAATCCCATGTCACCATTGTACTTTGTATCTCTATTACAGAATTATCACACAAAACTAACTATAAAATACTCATGAATGCGTCACTCCAAGAGGGATCACCTTTTATTTACCAGCATATCCCTGGCCTCTAAACAGAACTGGGCAAATGAGTATGGATTCAGTAAATGTTTATGGTAGATAAGAATGAGTAATAGCAATAGAACTGAGTAAGACTAGATAAAAAGCTAAAAGGTGAGAGAGAGAGATGGAAAGGCAGGGCTAGAGAACCCACCTGGTGATAGAGTGCCAAACACTGGAGTAAATAAAATAGGTAGATGGTGCCACTGTGGGGTAGCATGCTTAGCAAGGTTGATGCATAAGTTCCAAATAAAGCAATGGATAAGCTCTAAGATTTCTTAACTATTTTCAAATCCAATACCTACCTTCACCAAATTAAAACATACTCCACCCCCACAAAAAAGAACACCACAGTGCTAGAAACACAGTAAAATAAATGTGCAATGGCAGAGAGAATATTTTTATCTTTTAAAATTATTTAAAATGTTTCGTTCTTTGGAAAGCTTTAAAAAAATAATCAGCACATGAAACCATTGATTTGGGGGAAAAAAGATGCAATGATAGCAGTGGTAGCTTATATTATAAACTGATCTGAAATAGGCTATAAACTCACCAGCATGCAAGGAAAGCATTATATAAACACAATTATTTTAAAAGTTTTCTTTGTGATTTAAAAAATATAAAATGTAAATTATAATTTTAAAACAAAGTAGTGGCTGTAATTCTTTTGCTCATAGATACCAAAATCTATATATCTTTGTAATTAATCCTCATGTGGGGGGTCTTTACAAATCTCAGTGCATGGAAGTATTTTCCTTTGTCAGCAGCACTGGGAATACTGGGAGGACAAAGTGGGGCCGCAGAGTCTGCCTCTGAGTCAAACAGAGGTACAATGTTAATTCAAAAAGCAACACTGGGGTAGACTTCCTATTTACAGTACTTAAATATTATAAAATGAATTGGCAAGCTCTTCTAATAAATTACCCAAGTCACGATTTTGTCCTTTAAAGACATCATCCTATAAATAATTTCTGGATGCAATGTAAAAGAGCCACTTATATTAATCATTAAAAAGGGAAAAAAGGAAATATCTTAATTGGCACAAAACATGAAAAAGAAATTAAAAATTCATTAGGATATAGTTCTATATCCTAAATTCTACTGAAAAATTGAGGTTTCACTTCACAGATATATATTCTAACTGCATAGGAGCTGTCTTATTAATTTATTATTCTCATCTGTTCTCTGTCATTAAGTAATGTGTCACACTATAGTCCTCAGAAACAACAGCTTTTTTCATCCAAAAGAATGACATGAAGAATATGTTTGTGTATGGAAGTTACTTTCACCTTGAGGTAGAAACTTAAGTTACCTTTATAAACTCAAAACTGCCAAAATAAATTAACACCACATTTTAAAGGTTAATCAATTTGCCCCAAGACTCTGTCTGGGCAAAAAAACAGAGTCAGGGCCGGCCCGGGGGCGCACTGCTGTAGTGCGCCGCTTGGGAAGTGCGGTGGCGCTCCCGCCAAGGGTTCGGATCCCACATACAGACCGGCCGCTCACTGGCTGAGCGAGGTGCGGGTGCAACACCGAGGGTTGCGATCCCATTGCCGGTCCCGGCCCGGTACGGGCGCGACACTGAGGGTTGCGATCCGTTGCCGGTCACACAAAAAAAGACAAAAAAGGAAAAAAAAAACAGAGTCAGCAGTGGGGCACTATGAGGAGAGAAAAAGATGCTCCAGGTGGGGACTGGCAAGGACAAGACTCAGAGCTAGGAAAAACAGTCTTTCAGCATGGCCAGTATTCTGAGTGTGATAGAAGCCTTAGGAGAGACACAGTTAAGACTGTGAACAGCAGCCCTACTGACATTTTAGACAATTCAATTCCTTGTGGGCACCTGTCCTGTGCATTATAGGATGTTTAGCAGTATCCTTGGCCTCTGTCCAGTAAATGCCAGAAGCACCACCCTAGGTATGACAACCAAAGTGTCTCCAGACATTGCCACATATCTTCTGAGGGTGGGGGGATAATTTTGCCTCCAGTTGAGAACCAATGAGTTAAGGAATAAGCAAGAGCCAGCTCACAGAGAGGCTCATAAACCATTCCAAGGAATTTGGACCTTATTCTCAAGGGAAGAGGGAGCCACTAAAACAGTGTAAGTGATGTGATTAGATTTCATCCAACAAATGTTTACTAAACACCTACTATGTGTTAGGCACTGTTACAGGTACAGGATATAACCACGAACAGGATAAATGATGGGAGTGAACAGGCTACTTTATTTTAGATCACATGGTCTAGGGAAGCTTCTCTGAGAAGATGAAATAAACTGTGGTTGAAACTTTGGATGGCAACAAAGAGCCAGCTGTACAAGGACCTGGGGAAGGAGTTTCCTGGGCAGAGCTAGAATAAAGGCCCTAAGCAGGAATAAGCCTGGTGTGTTGAAACAAGAAGC